TGGTTTGATACGTTCAGCGATGGCCTGTCGGAGCACCGTCTCGGTTTGAACACAGACGCCGGAGACACAATCTACTACCACAAGAGCACCATCTGTGACACGAAGAGCGGCAGTGACCTCAGAAGAGAAATCAACGTGACCGGGAGAATCGATTAGGTTGATCAAGAAGCCTCGTTCCTCAGTCCCATCAGCATTAATGGCTAGAGGTTGAACTGACTTCACCATCTGAACGTCTTCTTCAGACATTTTATTGTACAGACTGATGGCTGTGGATTTGATTGTGATACAGCGATCTTGCTCGTCTTTTCGAGTATCTGTGAACCGAGCGTCGCCAGCTCGGGAGTCGGCGATGATACCAGCCTTGCATACCAGAGAATCCGTCAAGGTCGACTTCCCATGGTCTACGTGCGCAATGACGGACATGTTCCTGATGTTCCTTTTCAGGTCTATCATGCGCCGCAGCTCCTCAACAGTGAACTTGACCATTCTGCAGGTTATCCGAAATCAGGTGTGAAGCCGACGAATCCCGAAGGCCGAAGCGCGCGAAGTGAGACCGGGCCTTAGCTAGCTTCATTTCGTGTCCCCTTGTACGGAAATCTAGCGTTTCCTGGTCTAATACCAGATAAATCTTTCATTATCTTGAATGTTTCCATCTTTTCTCCTTCTGTTTTCTGAAGAAAATAGTTCCAGATCCTAAAGCCTTTGCTTGTAGTCTTTGCCACGCCGATTCGGAACCATTGTCAGACTATGAATGCGCTCTAAACAGGCGGCATCATTCTGTAGAAGGTTGACCATGCCTGCATGCAGTACTCGAGATGAAGTCTAACTATAGATTTGTACAGATGCACAAACACCTCCGGTCTCTGTAAGACAGTGCTTAGCTCAATTTGAAGAGTTCTCTGCGAGCTTTATTCGCGGCTTCTATGGACTGCTCAGCCCAACGGAAATCCGTTCCTTAGCTCTACTAATCGATTCTATCGTAAAACTCCTGGTCCAGCATTACAGTTCAGCTTTCGTCGGTCCGCGATGGCAGCTGGCTTTTGCCAGCATTCAGCGGCAAATCCCAAATCTACGTCCCACTGAGAACTCGAATTAGAATAGCGCGAACCCGGAATCAGACTGAAAACCCACCGAATAGCGCGAAGTCAGATAGAACCAAGACGAGCTGTGGATAGAATAAGTTCTATTCAGAAAATCATTCAAATGTATATCGCAAGCAACAAACAATCACTGGTCGATTCTCGGATGTCCAATCGATAACAATATCGTTTATTTGTCTGTCTCCTTGCATTCAGCCAATCTGGTTGGTGTCAACTGAGACCACAGGATGGGTTGGTTATTCCGTTTCTGGCTTGGTTACCTGGAAGTTGTACCGCGGTGCGTGCGTACTCATTAAACGATCACCACAAATTTCCTCTCTCATGAGTGTGTCATCAATTTGAATTGCCTTTCGTCGTCATTTCCTTAGCGTTGCACTGGTTAAGGTTTCGGAGTTCGCCGGTTGTACTGCATCTTCTTGTTCAACATCGTGTCACTGGAGAACTGAAGTGTCAGATTCACGTGGTTCATGATTGTTGGGGTTATCCTGTTCTTCATGCGGTTTTGATGCACCGACATTTCGTTCGTCTTTGAAATGTATTTAGTCGGTGTGCCGTCGGCGAGCAGATGTGTGGCGGTTTTTCAACCGACAATTTCGCAACCGCAGTTTTCTCTCCTTGCCTATTGTTTTTCTCTAAGTTTCTTGGTAGATCCATTCAAGCCGAACGTGATCATCAAGTCACGGACCAGTAGCACTTCACCCTATGGTGATGGCTAGCATCAGGACGGATTCAGCTCCCATCCAGTCCTGTATAGTTGAGTTCTATCAGGACATGGTTACATTATCATGACAAACTAATCAGACCCATCAAGGTTCCGACAGCAAGAAGGGACAAAGCCTATCGATCAGGTAGGTTAATTACAAAAGCCAGACTACCGTTAATCTTTTCCCATCTTCTCTACCGGGGACAATCAAATGCACCGTCAGGAGTTAGGATGTGTCGTCAAGCAAATACTTGACTTGATTATTTGGCGATATCGATTTTCTACAGGAAGTTTCTTTACTATATATAGCAACTTAGACACTTCTAGAATTAAGTTTAATGAAAATAACAATAACAATAGTATATTTCACGACGAAAGTCGTGAGGCATGCTGGGATGCACGAACATTCTGTACAATAAATGAGAGATTATTTGGGTTGACAGAGTTATTAGGGTTAAAAAACAACGGAACGCGAATATGTTTGCGCGCGACAAAGAAAAAGAACCACAAAACGGTCAATGGACCTTTCATTCATTCGGGAAATTGATAAATAAGATGTACCAAGTAGCACATTTTTGACAGTTTATAGTCCTGTAGATAAAAATATGGATGAGAAAAGTCACAAAGGCCGAATTGGAAAATTTGAAAACGTGTTCATATGTCAGTGAGTTGTGTTACTAAGGTCAGGACAGGTCAGGTCAGGTCACAGGACTAGTAACTGATGCCAAACGAGTGTCCGGTTTCTTGCGCAATCAAGCTCCAATGTTTCGGATGCGCTTCGACAGCTTTTGGAATTCTCGCCTCACTTAGCGGCATTTCCTTTAGTACAGGGCAGGACAGGACATTTCACAGCACTTGCGGTCTGAGCCAATATAATATTCCAGGTTCTTGCGTCTACGGGCCACGTGTGTCATGCAACGCTTCCACAGTTTGCTAAAATCGGTCCTTGGTGGTGCAGGGGTACGGCCGCGGAGCAGGGACGGCAATCCGGTTTGCTGTCGATGGAAGCAGCATCAGCTGATCAGTCACAGGCTAAACCAGGAAGTCCGAGTACCCCTCCAGCAAACAGTAGATGACCCGCAGGCATGCGAAGATAGATTAGGATGAGAAAGAAAAAGTACGTGAGTAATTGAGC